GGAAGTGTTTTTCAGAATCTAATGAGATGATCATGTGGGGTGTTTTTCAGTTCGTTTTGTTTTTTAGGGTAACTTCTGCATCATAGATTTGACAGTGCCCCTTCTTTTCTCTTGTGTGGAACAATTTGAGGAGCATTTGTATTAGCTCTTAATCTTCGGGTAGAATTCTTATGCACTGAAAACATTTGGGCCTGGGCTTTTTTGGTTGGGAGCCTTTTGAGAACTATCTGTAGTTTCTTTGGAGTTACATGTCTACTTAATTTCTTTATCTGGTCTACTTTAATTTTGATATGTGGTACTTCTCCAGAGAATTGCCCATTTCCTTGAAATTTTCCAATTTTGTGGAATATACGTTTTTGAAGTATGACCTGTTTGTCTGAATTTCCTCAGTGTATGTGGTTATGTCCCCGTTTTCATTTCTGATTTTATTACGTTGGATATTCCCTCTCTCCATTTTGGTTAGTTTTGATAAAGATTTATCTATCTTGTTGGTTTGCTCAAAGAACCTACTCCTAGTCTCAGTGATTTTTTTGTATAACTTGTTTGGTTTATATTTTATTGAGTGTGGCCCTCAGTTGTGTTACCAGATCAGCCAGCAGTGACTGTGGAGGGTGAGACAAAGCATGTCTGAACAGAGAACACAGGTGGTGAGCAGTCTGCCTGAGGACAGCTGCAGCTGCTAGCATGCAGCCGTGTTCTGAGACTGGCAACCGGAGGAGGGTGTGGGTCTAAGGGAAACATGCAACCCACAGAGGAGAGGAAGCCAGATGTCAGAAAACCACACGCACTTTTGCATGGAAGAAACACATGAGGCTGTGCCATCCAGTGTAGAGCAGGTAACTACCGCTGCAGCATTGGGAGCCCAGGTGCCTCTGCAGTTTGGGGTTTATGGAGTTTGTTGCAGAGACTGCAGCGGCAGCAACAACAAAACATCTCAAACTGACTTTCAGGCTTCAGAGAGAAGACACCGAGCCAGTGAGGAGGGACCTCTAACAGAAGTCCAGTGTATATCTCCATCATGTACCCATGGCAGCAAAGCCACAGGCAAGTGTCTTTTTTGTGAATTCATCCCTAAAAATGGAGGCAAATCTAGCATGAATTCTAACTGGTCTTAATAAAAAGTTGGAGTCAGATATTAGGGTGTGAGAGCTGAAAGATCAGAGAAGCAGAGCAGCCAGACACTACAGCTCCAACATCAAGGAAATCCTCAGGAGTACCATTGCTGTGATCACACACCTTCACCAAAGGAACTTGGGGAGAAAAGGGTTTATTTGGAGTTCACTCCCCTATTACTAGTCATCGAAGTCAGGACAAAAACTCACCCAGGATAAGAACATGGAGTTAGTTACTAAAGCATAGGCAAGGAAGAAATCCTACTTACTGGCTTGTTCTCCGTAGATGCTCAGGTTGGTTTCTTATAGACCCCACCACCAGCATCCTAAGGATGGTACTTCCAACAATGCTCCAACAATTCCCTCATTGATATCTAAGAAAATACTTTCACGGTCCACTGTTATAGAGCCAATTTTCCAATGAGTGTTCCCTTCCTCAGATTACTGTAGTATGTTTCAAGTTGAAATAAAAATAACCAGAACATCTCTGTTCCTGCCTGGCACCAATAAGATAGCAAAATGTTATGCAGCTGGCTGCATAAATGGATGAATATATGTATGCACACACATAGACATTATATATATATACATATATATATATATTGTTTTATTGTGGTATAATTCAACTGAGGGACCTTACCATGCTTACTTAAAAAAAAGCTCTAGCAGTGAAGAAAGAGCTTTAGCCTTAGTCCTAATGTGTAACTCTGACAAGTTTGAACAAACAAACAAACAAAACAAAGCAAACAAGAACAAACCAGTAAGTGTTCCTTGTGGAAATTGTGGAGGACAAAGGAAAAGCAGCAATAGTCAATCATACACTTCATTTAATGGTATTTTATTATTTAACAGCTATACAGGATGGAACATTACAGTAGGAAATCATTAAAATACACTATAATGCTGGACTACATCTTCTTATTATATTGTCTTGTCAATGCAGAAGAAAAGCTGGACAGGGAAATTGATGGTTCCAGAAGGAAACTTGTATATGAGGGAACTCCTGGCAACATCCAGGAAACTTAAAGATCCATCGTCACAATCAAGGAGCACACCAACCTGGCCCACTGGCTTCTCTATATAGAGATGGATAACTGGCCATGATTTGAGGAGATTGCTATGAATGCCCTCCTTCACACAGGCAAGTATAAACATACATGCAACACATAGGATTTTCTTCCTAAATGAGGAATCTATATAGACTCCTACAGCCCAGTCTAAAGAGTCCTTCACTACCACCTCCCAGTAATATTTCCCTGAGATGCAACCCTGTGATCCCCAGAAGACTCTATAGCATTCAGGGAGATCAACAGATGGATCCTGATGGTGAGGTCTGAAGCTGACTCTTCTCATGTAATTAAATAAGGTGGTCTTGCAAGTGGTGGCTCAATTCCCAGCAACCACATGGTGGCTACAACCATCCGTTATGAGACCTAGTGCCCTCTTCTGGTGTGCAAATATACATGGAGGCAGAATGTGGTATACATAATAAATAAATAAAATCTTTAAAACAATGATATACTTGAATGCCCAATTTTGGGCCCAAATGGGCCCAGAAACAAGTCCTAGTGGAATTCCTGAGTCTGGCTAGAATTTGGCAACATGTCTTTGGCCTATCACTTCTGCATAGGAGTAACTCAGTAAAACTAACTGCCCAGCTACTGCTAGCATGGTGAAATAGTATGGGCCCTTATACCTCACCCCATCCTGAGGTCCAAACCCACTTCCTCAACCCTATATAAGTACCTGACTGATGCAATAAAGAGAGATCCTGCTTTGACGAGTCTCCCAACTTAGTGAGGTTCTCTCTAGTAACTAGGAGAACAGTTTGGGTGGTTGGCATTCTCCATACTGCTCAGCTGCAGGAAGAGACCAGGTGGACAGGCTCCTCCCCAACCCTACCTGCTGGGGGACCCAGCAGACCCAAGAAGGGCAAAGGGACAACATTTCCTGAGTAAATTAGGAGCAAGTGGAGAGGGTAATAGGAGAGTGGGAAGAGGAAGAGGGGGATGGGGAGGAGAACATGGGGGATCAGGAAATCTGAGTGGGGGAAGGACAGAGAGGGAGAGCAGGAAAGAGATACCTGGATAGAGGGAGTGATCATGGGCTTAAGAAACCTAGCACTGGGTATATTCTCAGGAATCCACAAGTTTGAACCCAACTAAGAATCCAAGCAACCATGGAGAGGGTGATTAACTGTCCTTCCCCTCTAATCAGACTGATGACTACCTTACTTGTCATCCCAGAGCCTTCATGCAATAACTGAAGCAGATTCAGAGCTGAACTAATGGAATCAGTTATAAAAGGGAGGAGGGACAATATGAGGAAAGGGCTCAAGACCATGCTGGGGAAACCCAGAGAAACAGCTGACCGGAGCTAGTGGGAGCTCACTGACTCCAGAATGACAGCTGGGGAACCTGTATAAGATACAAATAAGATCCCTGAATGTGTGTGACTGTGAGGAGGGCAGGGATTGGGAAGTTTATGAGGCTGCTGGCAGTGGAAACCATATTCATCCCTAGTGTGTGATAGGCTTTTTCCAGCCTATTCCCTATAGAGAGATATCTTTTTAAGGCTAGATATGGGGGGAGGGAGCTTGGGCCTGGCCCAAGTGATGTGACAGACTTTGATGATTCTCCATGGGAGATCTCAATCTCTGAGGAGTGGATGGGGTGTGGGGTATGGAGATAGAGGATGGAGCAGGAGGAAAGCAGGGGGAGAAAATTTGGATTGGTGTGTAAAATAAGATTGTTCTAAAAATTAAAGAAAGAAAATTGGAAAATAGAAAAAAGTCACATCCAATTGGAAAGGAAATGGTCTTGGCACAACATGAAGACCACAGGTAAATAGGACACATAGTCTATAGCTGTGGGTGTCTGCTTCTACTTCCATCATGTGCGGGATGATGAATGCTCTAGGATGGCATATATGTCAGTCATCAATGTGATTATCAGGGAAGGCATTTAAGGTAGCCTCTCCACTGTTGCTTAGATCCTTGTAGATCTCTGGACATTTCTGTAGTGCCAGATTTCACTTTAAACCTATAATGGCTCCCTCTATTACAGTATCTCTTAGCTTTCTCTCCTCTATTCTTCCCCCTTACTCTACCATCCTGTTCCCTCATGTCCTTCTCACCCCTCCTCTTTTCCCCTTCTCATTCTCCTCTCTCCTGCTCCCCTCCCCCTATGCTCCCAATTTGCTCAGGAGATCTTGTCCCTTTTCCCTTCTCTGAAGGACCATGTATGTCACTCTTAGGGTCCTCCTTTTTTTCCTAGCTTCTCTGGTAGTGTGGAATGGAGGCTGGTAATCCTTTGCTCTATGTGTAAAATCCATATATGATTGAGTAGTGAACTGAACTTTAACTGAGTTGCAGGAGGGAGAAGCGATGAGCAAAGGGATCAATACAAGGCAGGTGAAACCCATAGAAACATCTGACGTGAACATGGGTGAGCTCATGTTCCCCAGACTGATAGCTGGGAAACCAGCATAGGACTGATCTGGACCTTGTGAACGTGGGTGTCAGTTGGAGGCCTCAGAAATCCATGGAGCCTCTTGTAGTAGATCAGTACTTATCCCTAGCATAGGAATGTACTTTGGCAGCCCATACACATAGAAGGATACTCTCTCATTCTAGACACACAGCAGAGGGACTAGGTTGTATCCCAAAGGATATGACCGATTTTGATGGTCCCGCATGGAATGCCTCACCATCCCTGGGGACCAGAAAGGTATGGGATAGATAGGTTGTTAGTGGGGGGGAAGGGGAGAAGAAGAGGGAGGAGGAACTGGGATTGACATGTAAAACAAGCTTCTTTCTAGTTTAAATATTAAATGGAGAAAAAAGGAAACATTGTCAACTATCTTTACATTTAACAATATTTTAATATTTAATAGCAATAAAATGATAACATTTCAAAGCACATATTTACAAAAATCACTCTAGTACAGGATTATATCTTCCTATGATCATGTGTAGTTGCTGAAGAAGAAAAGGTTGATAGAATAATTGAAGGTGCCAGGAGGCTACTTGTATATGCAGGAACTCTGGACAACATCAAAGAAACTTAAACATCCATCATCACCATCAAGGAGCACACCAACCTGGCCCAGTGACATCTATTTAGTGACAGATTACTGGGCAAGTGGTGAGGAGACTGTAGTGATTGCACACATGGGAAGAGATTCACCCTCAGATTCAACCAGTTGGTTTCTCTTCCTTAACCAGGAATTTGTACAGACTCCTACAGCCCAGACCGAAGAATCCTCAAAATCCCTCTCCCAGTAATATTTCCCTGAAATGAGGCTCTGTGATATCCAGAAGGCTACAGAGCATCCAAAAGGATCCACAGATGGATCCTGATGGTGAGGTTGAACCTGACATTACATAGGTTCACCTTGAAATGAAGCATGGCTACATTTTGAAAGAAAACATGTGCTGTGGGAAGAGTCAACATTCTTTATTAATATTTTACATATTTTTATTTCTATTTTTAAATGAATCTTATTTTACATACCAATACCAGCTCCCTCCTCCTTGTCCTCCATCTCCCCACACCATCTCCCCATGCCACCCTCCCAGGAGGAATCATCCATGTCTGTCACACTATTTGGGGCAGGACCAAGGCCCTCCTCCCTGTAGATAGGGTGAGCCAAGTATCCCTTCATAGCGAATTGGCTCCAGAAAGCCAGTTTAAGCACTTGGTAGAAACATTGGTTCCAGTGACAGAGGCCCCATAGACTGCCCAAATCCCCCAACTGTCACTCACATTCAGGGGTCCTAGCTCTATCTAATTAGGTTCCACAGCTGTCAGTCTGGAGTCAGTGAGCTCTCATTAATATGGTCAGCTGTTTCTGTGAGTTTCCCCAACATGATCTTGACCCGTTTGCGTATATTATCTTTCCTCCATCTCTAAATCTGGATTCCAAGAGTTCAGCCACGTGCTTAGCTGTGGATCTCTGTTTCTGCTTCCATCAGCTATGGGAGGAAGGCTCTAGGATGACAATTAAGGTAGACATCAATCTGATTATAGGGGAAGGACAGTTAAAATGGCCTCTCCACCGTTGATTAGAATCTTCCTTGGGGTCATCCTTATGAATTCCTGGGAATTTCCCTTGTGTCAGGTTTTCCTTAACTCCATACTGACTCCCACTATCAGGGTGTCTCTTTCCTTGCTCTTTCTCTCTGTCCTTTCTGAAACTGATCTTGCCAAACCATCCATTCTCTGGGGGGGGGGGCAGAGGGAGAGAGTGGTAGGAGAGTGGGGAGTGAGGAAGAGGAGAGGGAAAGAGAGTCAACTTTTTAATTAAAATCACGATTTACATTTCTCAGGTGAGAGAGGTCCTAGAGTCTTCTTAGGTTTTCTAACAGGATAAGACTAGGGGTTAAATGTGGCTCAGATACATGTAGTCAAGGGTTTCCACAAGAAACAGTGGTAGCATGATGGAAGCTTTTATCAAGCTTAGTACCTGCTGTAAAGGAGGGAGCCTCAGCCTACTTCTGGTGACCTTTAATTATACCTGGCAAAGGGGAAAATGTGTGTATTACAGTGAGGGCAAATGCTGTTGTCATGGGTCTACAAAAAAATTATTCCCAAGAAGTAAGGAGAGATTGTTTTCATATTAGTATTGTGATTTCCATGTAATTAATCATATTAATAGTATAGAAGAGCTAAATATGCTTAAGGAGTGTGTCCCTGGTATTAGTTGTCCTCCTTTAACCTCTGGTTCCTGATTATTTTTTCCCTCGAAGGTTGCAGTCAACTTTTAGATCTAGGGCAGGGATTCAGACACTGCCTCATGTCTTATTAATTTGTTTTATTTTTCATTGCTCATGATACATAGCTTTGGCTGTTTAGTTATTTTATGATTTTTCTTTTTCAGTTTTTTTTGCAATAGGCAAGAGGCTTTATTGCAGTTGTTTAATGAGCTAACCCCATGTTAGATAGGGCCTTTCATCTATCCACCAAGGCAAATGGCTAGGAAAGACACTTTGAAGCCACTGAATAGAGATCTTATAGGGCAGCGTAAGGGAAGTATCTTGGGGTACACACAGGCTCAGGATTGGTGTGCCTCCTGACTTGGAGGGTTTGCCCTTTGTTGATTTATCAACTGGTTGTTATGGCCCATAGGTCCTCCCAGGGTGGTTGCTATGTTCTCTGTTTGATTTCTGTGCACTTGTCTGAAGAGCACACCCTGAGCTGTAAAGCATAGCACCACCAGCTAACTTCTGATTGGTTCTTTGCCATGAGGCATGCATCTGACCTCCTAGTGACCAAGGCAAGGTCAGAGCAAGTATGTGTTCGGCTGCTATGGCTGCCAAAATGGGGACCTGGTCCCTTCATTCCCCCATTTTTTTTTTGGAGATTCCAATCATGAAATTGCTGTCTCTCCAGCGTCCCCATTAGGGAGTGAGAGATATTGGCATCCCCATCCCTTTGACTTAGCATTTTAACCAGGGAAAATGGGCGATGTATTCTTTCCCATGCTATTTCCTGCTGACTTTTGGACGAAGTTTGGGACCCAAGAAGGCCGAAATGCTAGTCAAAAGCAAAAAAAGGAATTTAGGCAATGGCGAATCCACCAAGAGCTTCTGGTTAGCTAATTCTGTTGTAGAGATAGGGGGTGTCCACATCAGCTGGACTGGTTCACATCCCACAGCAAGTCCAGGGCTCGTAGTCTACAGGAAAAGCCTGTAGTCAGCAACTGATATTCAGATGTATGTTCCAGAAGCAGAAACCTGTTTAAGACATGTTTAAACTAGAAACAGAAGTTAAAACTTATTTACTGAAGCCCACAGTGCAGAAAAAGCAGATATCTGGATCTGTTCAAGCAGTAGGGACCTATTTATATTTTTGAGTCCTAGCATAAACTACAGATTTGGACTAGAAGCATGTACATTTTTCTTCTGTCCAGAGAGCCAGGTATGGATTGGACAGCGGTGCCTTTGGCCTGATGAAAAGCCCTTTAACTTTATACTTAGATGACAACCAGAATAAACCTAAAACCTTGAGTTTGTGGCTGAAAAGTAGGTAATCACTACTTTATCAGCTAACATGCTGACTACAGTCTATAGTGGATCTGACTGCCTGATTCTGCCAAGCTGACAACCATTAATATTTCAGCGACCTGAGAACAGTATATTTTATACAGTTTCTGAATCTATTAAAAAAGTGACAGAAGCCAGTTAGAAGCCAGTCCATACCCAAGTCTCTCCATTACCATTGGAGGCAGCTGTCTCAAAGAACAGCAATCTTCTCCAGGCCTATAAGGTGAGAGGTTTTTTTCTCTCTGTGGAAGAGGGATATGGAAAAGTCTGATCTTGTTTTGTCTAGGCAAAGGGGTACAATCAATTTTCCAGTGTCCAGCAGCTTTGTCCACAGACTTGGCAGGTCCTGGCAGGCAGCAGGTATCACATCTGAGCATCTCGCTCACTGGTCCAGGTGCAGGAACTGGGGTGCCTCATAAACTTCTTTGGAGACTTTGGATCACTGTCAGGACCTGGCAGTCTGTCTGATATTATAAACTTTTAAAATAACATTTAAATGCCATATTCTTCAGGTTTCTGAAGCATTAGAGGTCTGTCTGTCTGTTTTAGTTACTTGCCTTAAGCACACATTAAGCACACAGGTAGCTAGATAAGGTCTTATTTCTGTAGTTAATTAATTTTCAGTCTGACTGTAATTGGTTTTAACTTAGTAAAATATTTGAAACAGCACAGTTGAATTTAAAACCGCATAGAGTTGCCTTATATTCCTTAAACAGTAGCTACATGTACACATTTTAGCTGCTTACTTAAACTTAACTTTTTTTCTGAGACAGGGTTTCTCTGTGGCTTCGGAGGCTGTCCTGGAACTTGCTCTGTCGACCAGGCTGGCCTTGAACTCCCAATGATCTGCCTGCCTCTCCCTCCCGAGTGCTGGGATTTAAGGCGTGTGCCATCAACACCTTAAACTTAACTTCTGAAAACATAAACTGTAACATCTTATAATAGATTAGCATGTGACCAGCTTGCCATGTGGCTGGCTGCAAAATGGCAGTGACCTGCACAATTTGTTTTAGCTGTATGCTTGTAACAGAATTTATATTATGCCAGGAAACAGAACATTTTAAAACAAGCATACATAATTTACTTGAGAAATAAAAAGAACTTTTAAAACAGAATTAGCTTAATATGTTTAAAATTTTAGCTTATGTAACCAATTTTTAAAATTTACTATTTGTAGACATGAGAAACCATAACAGTTTATATTTTTCTCTGACTTTTAACAACCTTTCCTCTGACCTTTGACAACTTGCTTTGACCCTCTATAATTTTCTATAGTTCATTTCTCTCATTTCCTTAGACATTCTCAGTCAAATTTCTCTTTCCCTTTCCCTCTTTATTTCGTTAGTCTTCTACACTTTTTTCTCGTTTCTCAGTCAATATAAAAACTCTTATCAAAGTCCTTTTTATAGTTTTTAATAACTTTAAGAAACAGAAATGGTTGACCTGACCTAGTGAGAGCACAGAGACCCTAGTGGTAAAGCTGTGGAACCAGCTTTGGACAAAACCAAGCCCTCTGAATGTGGGTGACTCCTAGGAGGCCAAGGCAGTCTATGGGACCTCTAAAAGTGTAGTCAGTGTTTATCCCTAGAGTCCAAATGGACTTTGGGAGCCCATTCCCTGTGGAGGAGTACAATTGCAGCACAGATACAGCAAGGAGGGCCTAGGCCATCCCCCAAATGATATGACAGACTTTGACAGAGCTCCATGGAGGACCTCACTATCCCTCAGGAGGAAGTGGGGATGGATGGGGGCGTGGAGAACACTGAAAGATGGGAGGGCAAGAGAATGAGAGGATGAATATGTAAATATGAGTGCATCTAAAATTTAAAAAAATCGAAAAACATCATAGAAGAAAACTTGCCAAACCTAAAGAAAAACATCCCCAGAAAAATACAAGTGGCTACAGGACACCAAATAGACTAGACCAAAAAATCCCCTCAGCACATAATAATCAAAACAATAAACATACAAAATAAAGAAATAATATTAAGTGATGCAAAGGAGAAAGGCCAAGTAACATATAAAGCTAGACATTTCAAAATTACACCTGACTACTCAAATGAAACTATGAAAGTCAGAATGTCCTGGTCAGAGGCTATGCAGATACAAAAGGAACACCAGTGCAGACTACTTTACCCAGAAAAGCTTGCAATAACCATAGATAGAGAAAACAAAATATCCCATGATAAAACCAAAATTAAACATTACGTATCCACAAGCCCAGCCATACAGAAAGTACTAGAAGAAAAAACACCAGTCCAAGGAAATCACCTCTGT